TTGTGTGCATGTGTGTGTGTCCAGGGGTGTTTGTGTGCATGTGTGTGGAGGGCAGAGATAGATATCAGAAGTCTTCCTCCATTGCTCTGCACCTTTCTTTTGAGACAAGCTCTCTCTCTCTCTGAACTCAGAGCTTACTTTTGGGCTGTACCATCCAAAACCATGTTCCAAGAGTCCTCTCTGTCTCCCTAGTACTGGGACACACATGTCCTCCTGCATACGTGACTCTCTATGTGGGTTCTTGGGGATCAAACTGTTTCTTATTCTTGTTCAGCAAACACTTTACTGACCGAGTCATTACCTTGTCCCAGATAGGACTCTATTTTCTGAACAGTCTACAGTGAACAAGGGGTGAGGCTACATTAAAACAACCAATCTATTTCCTTATCTAGTCCATTTTAAGAGTAAGAGTCACAAATGATTATTGATATTATCCCAGAAAGAATGGCCGGGATATAGATAAAAGGCAATGAGTGGGTCATCGTACCTGTGTGTTCCCAGGAAAGTTCTCCGTAGATGGAAACACCTGCAGTCATCAAAGCCGTAATGACTAACAAGAAGTGGTACAGTGAAGGGTCAAGGAGCTCCACCTCAAAAGCATCTCCCTAGCAACCCCACACATCCTCAGGGCCAGAGAAGGGACCCCTGATCTTCCATTTCCAGTACACATAGAAAAACTATCGGGCCTTGGAATACTTGGGTATCATTTTTGATAGGCAGGCTGCATCTCCAAGAGCCTCAGTTCAAACTCTTCTCTACTGTCACCCTACACCACCTCCATTCACTGAAAGTGAGGGCAAACTGTTCATGAGCCCGTAGCAGCCCCATGGGACCCCAGAGAACCAGACCACAGGGTAGGTACATCCTTCATGGTCCACAGGGCACCTTGGTCTGTGTACCACAACAGCCACCATGGTTTAGGACCACAGCTTGCTTTTCCCAGTGCAGATAAGATAGCCAAGCAGCAGCAGAGGTGAGGCTGCATTAATACTTGGGTAAGCAGAAAAAATAACCAAGTTGGTAACAGAGCAATTGTCTGAAGACATCACCCCCCACCAGAGGCAAGCATCACAGAAATATACAAAGTATTATTAGAACCTCTAAGCCTGCCAGTAAGAACTATAACAACAACAACAACAACAAATCCATGGAGAGTCTGTAAAGACAAGCAAAATGGCTTGAGAAAAAGGGACTGGATGACATTTTAGTACTCATAAGACAGATGCACAGTGCTGGGGCGTGGGTGCAGGGTCTGAGCTACATGTCTCACCATGCCAGCTTCCTGCAAGTGACTGGCATGTCTGTTCCTTAGGGCCAAGTTTCCTGTGAGTGGCGTGTCTGGTTCCTTAGGGGCAAAGTTGTGTGTTGTATTTACACAGGTGTCGCTTTCTCAACATCTGTCTACAGTACTTGCAGCTGATGGGTGGTAGAGGCAGCACCTGCTACATCCCACAGCCGACTCACTGCCTTTAATAACTTCCTATCAGCTGGAGCTGGGCAGCGCCTCCTGCTTTTTTCCTGTCAAAAAGCCTCCCATGTTGCTGTAATACAGCAGACAGTATCACCCTGTGTGTGTTTGTGTGTGTGTGTTTGTGCCCGCACAACCTTACATGCTTGAACTGGCCAGAGTGTGGAAAACGGCCAAGACCCAAATTGCAACATTCCTTGAAGTCAAAACTGCTTCAAGCCCTTCCAAACAACGCATAGAACTGCCAACGTGGCTAAGAGAGGAGTGGACAGGTTGTGAGGGAAAGACAGCCAGGTCACCCCACACCCGTGTCACGCTGGGAAAGTGACAGCCCCCATGAACTCTGAGAAACAGCCTGCTTAGGAGGGTGACTTGTTTTTACACTTTTGGCACAGAGCCACACTCCTTACCTAAGGTCATACACACGGGTGCCTGGTCAGGCCTGCTCACCAGCCTGTGGCTTTAGCCCGTGGGGTCTTGGCTAGGGGGCGCCCCGGACTGAGCTGTGAACCTGCAGACCACCTGCCGCTAGCAGTCGGTCCAAGGGATCCCAGGTCTTTTGAGCACTCAGGAGGGTTTGCGCTTCGGGCGTGCGCCAGGACCCTAAAGGAAAGGACTTTCGCGGACCGCCGTATCTCAGAAACCGAGGTCGGGCAGCGCATTGCAGGGCAGGGCCGGGTAGGGCAACGTCGGACCACCTGACTCGCGGGCCGCCCGCCCTGGTGCCCGCCCAGGCGCCTGCCCGTATAGCGCGCGCTCGAGCGCGTGCCGGGCACCAACCCCACCCCCCGGTGGCGTGTGCATACGTCATATGGGTCGCCCTCCTCCCATTGGCTCCCGCGGCCTCACCAGACCCCGAGCGGACTGGCGCGCGGACAAGGCGGGGCGGCAGGGAGGCACGCCCCCCAGCAGGGCGCGCGGGCGGTGGATAGGCTGGGTGAGGTCACGTGGCCCCGGCGGCCACCCACCTTATAAGCGGAACCCGCGCGGCGCCGCGGCCGCTCCTGGGCCGTCCGGGCGCGCTACGCCTGTTGTCGTGGCGTGCACCTCCTACGGTGTGCCTGGCCGCTCATGCCCAGGCTGCACGACCACGTCTGGAGCTACCCAAGCGCGGGCGCTGCAAGGCCGTACAGCCTCTCGCGAGGCATGATTGCAGCGGCTCGCTGTCCGCAGGGCCCCGGAGCCCCCGAGCCCGAGCCAGCGACCCGGGGCCAACGAGCGGGAACCACAGGATGCAGCGCGAGGCCGGGCAGCTGGCACCACGACCTGGTGCAGCGAAGCCTTGTGCTCTTCTCATTTGGCGTGGTCTTGGCCCTGGTGCTCAACCTGCTGCAGATCCAGCGGAATGTCACGCTCTTCCCCGACGAGGTGATAGCCACCATCTTCTCCTCAGCCTGGTGGGTGCCCCCGTGTTGTGGCACGGCAGCCGGTGAGTGCCCTTCCTTGTTCTTGGGGGCGGGGGGAAATGAAGGGACATGTCAGCTGTTAAAGTCACCCTCGATACTAGACAGGACGGAGAGGGTAGGGAACCCCAGACGCTGGCGAGCGACTGGCGGAAGTTAGAGGGACTAGTGATGGAGATGAGGTCAGGAGATAATTGGCAGTTTAAGTGGAGGAGTCGCAGATGTCTCCCTGAGCCAGAAGCCAGGATTGGCCGCCTGGAGAACTGGTGAGGGCAGCACTACGCGGCCATTGGCTGCCTGAGCAAACGTGCTACCTCGCTGGATAACTGAAAACAAACCATCACGTGCGCTCGAGAGGCGGTTGCCAGGGGACTGACTTATCCGTTCTGCCTTCTGCAGATAGTGAGTGCTTTGTGGCTAGCAGCCAAGCCTTCTGGAACTCCGTGCCCAGTAGACTTGGGACAGGAAGAAAAGAGGTGTGCTATGGGCCTAAACACACCTATGGTGTCACCTCTTGGCCCCAACGAAACTTGTGATAGTGCCACAGGCTTCTTTTTCCTTTACTTGATCATTTTGCTGGTTTTGCCAAAAATGTTGAGTGATTACATCCCAACGGATCCCTATGGACCTTACAGTGTACAGCACTGACAAACATTTGTCAAGTGTTTCTACCCCCTCAGCTCTGCTGGTTTTCGTCTTGTATAGGTGGACAGTATATGCTCTGGTACAGCTTTCCTCCAATCTGGTGAGACACCTGTACCTGGAGCCACACAGGACAGCAGGAGCGGTGCCTCTCTGCTTGGAAGCCAGCTTTTATTGACTGCCTGGCTGTGCCTTATGTGCTGGGCTTGGGTGCTATGGGGTAGCTGAGTCATGGGTTAAGTGTAGGATGCAGGACACTTGCTGTTGATTCTCAAGGGTACTCTCGGGCTCACCTGCAGCATTCTGGGGGTCAGCCTCATGACAGCTATGTGCTGCTGGGAGGAAGTAGTCAACTTTGCTCTCAAAGCACTCCCCGGCTTTATGGCTGTACTGGCTGAACATTCTTGGTTGTTTTGAACCTGGGGTGACCTCATACACGCTAGAGAAATCATCTGCTTCCAAACTATTATCTCCAGCTTTTAATAGTCCCATGGGTAAGATGGAGATTTGAATTTTCTTTTTCATACATATAGAACACAGTGGTTTGGTTCTTTGAATTTGAAAGTTTATCTTCATCATGAAGCATCCGGTTTGTGATGAAAGTTTGAATGAATCTCAGGAATACATGAAACAGTTTCTCCTTGTCTGAGTGTGAGGCTGAACCGGCACCAGTCTCACCGCTGAGAGGCTGAATGCCTTCTTCATACCAGACAAGGTGAAGTGGCAGCCTGACTCCGAGGTCTCGAACTTAACTGCCCCGTATCCATGGGACCTCTCCCACTGTCCTGCAGACAGTCCCTCCCTTCCTGTGTTTTACTCTCTTGGTCTCTTCTGGAATGCCCAACTTGCTACTGTCCAAATGTTTAGGAGTCCGATCTGTGTTTGTGACAGTTCCTGACTCTGAGAACCACAAAACCTTCTCTGCCCTCCATTTTACTTACATAATGTTTCACACATGAGGAAACAGACTTGAGGAGGCTTGTCCACCCCAGGGCAGCCTGGGACTGACAGCAGAGCTCTTCCTTCTTGGGGCCCTGCCCTCTTCACAGTGTGATACTTGTCCACAGTGTGGGGTGGCCTTCCCACAGCCTTTTCTGACAGGGCGTATGCACAGTAGTACTTTGTGCTACAGGTAACAAACAGCCTAGGAACACAAGTGGTTTGGATTCTACCAATAATGACCACACAAGGATGGATTTTCACCAGTGTTCGCTAACCCTGTTGTGTTTTTCTTTACACAGCTGTTGTCGGCTTACTGTATCCCTGTATTGACAGTCACCTGGGAGAACCACACAAGTTCAAGAGAGAGTGGGCCAGCGTCATGCGCTGTATTGCAGTGTTCGTTGGCATCAACCACGCCAGTGCCGTATCCTCAGTTGGTATCTGTGTTCAGAGGATCATCTGGGGTGTGGCAGGGCGTATTGTTGCTGTGACCATATGTTGCTGCTTGTCACCTTGTTCCTGTACTTCAGAGTATGGCTTAGCTTTCACCTGGCAGGAATTCTGGGGTTCAGTTCCTAGGGCCTTTGGGCTAAGAGCAGAGGCAGAGAATTACTCTCTGCTTCTCAGTTCCTGTGGCTCAGTGGACTCTCCTCTCTCTTGCCTTCTATTCCATGTGTTCTGTGATAGTGAGAGCCCTATTCCTGTTCTCTGTCACAGAAGTCCAAGGCTGGTCAGGAGGTCCCTGGGCTTCTGTCCATAGCTGACATACACCCTTCATCCAGTACACTGTAGTTTTGTGCATTTTCTATGAAAATGGTCAATTTGATGGTTAACCCTTCAAATACTAAGTTTCTAGACCAACTTGGAGTAAAAGAGTGCTGGTTGACAGGCACTGAATTAGCTCACTTACCTACTGCCTAGGTGACACAGAGACAACGTAGAGGTAGTGTCCGCTTGTTTCCACTCAATGAAAAGTAAGGGAGGGCTGTAGAGAGAGTATCTTAGCAAAGTCTCCCAGCTGTCAGGTAGTCCACGGTTAGAAGCCAGCTCTCTGACTGGGCCTCCCTGGCGTCTCAGGTCTCAGGACATGCGCCTTCATAAGAAGCAGTCACTGTATAGTGATATGCCCTATAAGTAATTCTGGGGTTTAGTTGTTTTTTTTTGTTTTGTTTTCTTTTTTATGATAAATTATAAAATGTTTCCTTAACTTTTGGATCATTAGAAATTAGATTTTGCCAATAATGTCCAGCTGTCGTTGACTTTAGCAGCCCTGTCTTTGGGCTTGTGGTGGACGTTTGATCGGTCCCGGAGTGGCCTCGGGCTTGGGATCACCATCGCCTTCCTTGCTACGCTGATCACACAGTTTCTTGTCTATAATGGTGTCTACCAGTAAGTGTGCATTTAGAATATTACTCTGCTTTCATAATAACACCTGTTAAATGTAAATGTTTTATGCAAAATAACATGAAAATCTTGAAATGCTTTTTCTCAGAACATATTGAAAACTTACCGCCCAACTGGGTGGGGTGGGAGTGGTGCATGCCTTTCATCCAGTACTCAGGCAGGGGAAGTGGGATCTCTGAGTTCAAGGCTAGCCTGGTCTACAGAGCAAGTTCCAGGACAGTCAGGACTACATAAGGGGGAAAAAACAAAACAAACAACAACAATTCACTATCAGTAAGTCAGTGAGAGGAAAGTCTGATGATTATAAAACATGACACATTTGATAACTTTAGCCCACAAATGTCTCCCCCGCCCACATTACGGGAATTCTGGACCACGAGCTATTTGGGTAGTAAAGGCTGTTTTGTTTTTCCCCTAGGTACACGTCCCCCGACTTCCTCTATATCCGTTCTTGGCTCCCTTGTATATTTTTCTCAGGAGGTGTCACAGTGGGAAACATAGGACGACAGTTAGCTATGGTAAGTGGCAGCAGTTGCTGTCCCTGGGCACATACATTGCTGATGCTGGCTGGGTCTTCTCTGAGTTACGATCTATAGATTTGTAGACATTTGTTCATGCTGGAAAGCAACTAGATTTGAGAATGCCTACATGCATTGCTCTGTGTCCTGTGGTTTCTCTGAGTTCATGTAGCCGCTAGGCAACCGCATTTTCAGGAGCTCCCAAGCATCTGTTAGCAAAATCAGTGGATGCAGATGATACTAGGGTAGTGTTCCTACCCTAGTTTGTCTGGACAAACCAGGCAACATTACACCCAGGTGGTTATCAGTAGAAGGAAAGGGCTCCTGGTGCCTCGTGTTTTGATATTTGTTCATAGTCTGGCAGAGAATTTCTTCCAGAAAGGATTTGTGACTTTGGGGTAGCTGGGGGAGGGCAAGGCTCTCTGCTCTTTTAGGAAGTCAGTGTGCTTGGGGAGGAGCAGAAACAGAAGCGTGCAGTCTATATACCTAGAGATGACTGACAGGAAGTGGGCTGAGCAAGCTTGAAGGCTGTCATTCTAGGAACCCTTGCTTGCCTCCTACTGTTTGTCAGGCCTCTATGTACCTGCTTGCGTTTCTCTTGAGCCTGGTTACTCACAAGGGCAGCCAAGCCAGGGACTGCTTATAGCACTGGAGCAGGTCTTCTGGGTGGTGGCTTTGTTTCCTCTGTGTGCCCTTTGTTCTGTGTGTCTGAAAATACAGCAGGCTCGTCATCATCAGCCTGTGCGCTTAGAGAAAGTCATGCCATCATTTATAGGATCTGCAGTTGCTGCTGTTTCTCAGAACCTTTCTCAGAAAAGTAAAGTTTCAGATTGCAAATAGCAGCCAATTGTATGTCAGCTTCTTGTCACCTCACTTCACAGGGACACTAACTATAGAGCTTGCACCCTGTTTTTAGATTCAATGTACGTCTCCTGTTGTTTGCTGACACACAAAGACACATCTGCAGGTTACTGACTTGTCCATGGCTTGTCCTGACTGTTAACACTGTTACTAATGGAGCCCTCAAGCTGTGAACTAGAAGCCATCAGTGATGTGTGTTAAATATGGAGCTTGATGCTTGCCCCAGTGTGTGCATTTGAACCACGCTCCTCATTAGTATATTAGCCGACCCTTTAACATAAAGCACGTGCCTGTCATTTGTCCTGCCAATGCAGATGACAACAGCTGTATACAAATCTGCATCGCTAGCCCTAGTGGGCAGCCAGGCGCTTATGCTCCAGTGAGTCTCAGCCCACTGGTGGCTTCTCAGGTCTTTTGCCCTCTTACCCTAATAAAAACCTAGTTTTAGTCTCCTGAAGACTATACATTCTAAAATTGTGTTTTGTTTGAATTGGTAAATAGTATAATTTGATGGCTTCATTTTTCTTTCCAAGTAACTTCTCAAGAGTGTGACCTAGGTTAGATGTGGTACATGCCTTTAATTCAGAACTTGAGGAACAGAAATATGGATCTCTTTGAGTTCAAGGCCAGCCTGGACTATACTTAAAATCAGGAAGAAACAAAAATACCTAAACTACTTTAAGTTTGCTTAGAGACTTCCTTATGTCAGCTTTTGGGGAAGCCCATTTTCTAGAAGGCATACTACACTCCTAGATGGCTTGACTCAGATCCCATTTCTATCTATCACTCATGCTTACAGGATCTTAGAATGTCATTCTCTAAGGATGGCTGCTGAGTGTGGGAGACTGAACAGATCAGGAGGTCTCGGCCCCCTAAGGAGGTGTGAATGGAGGTTTCTCTCCCCTCATTGGTAGCTTGTGGTTGTTCTGTCCAATCATCTCTCTACCCATGAGACAACATTCTGTACATGGTCAGTTCTGCAGGCCTAGCAGAGACAGTGATTCCCAGGCTTGACCTGCAGGGCAAGAGTAGCAGAGGCCTCAGGTCTGACAGGTGGCTCCAGCAGAAGCCACCTACCTACAAGTAAATCACATTTAAATAGTGTCCTAATTGCACTGAGTCAGATCTCGGGTACACCTGTCCTACCTTGGTGTGGGTGGCAGTGCTTTTGTAGTGCTGTTTCCTGTGGCTAGAAGCTTAGTCACATGCATGTCATTGTCTGACACAACAGGCCTTATAGAAAGGCATTAGCAGCTCCGCTCTCTCCGAGGTGGGGATTGTTGTAACTTTGTAGGTGAAGAGCTAGACCTGCATGCGTGGCAGCCTGAGGGCAGTGGTGGAGCTCACCCTGAGCCTGTCACCATCCCCAGGTAACTGTGTAGGCCCCAACATTCGAGCACTGAGTTTTCTTTTTCTTTTCCACACAGGGTGTTCCGGAAAAGCCTCACAGTGACTGAGCTTTCGCACATGGCTCAGAGCGGAGCAGGATGCAGAGACACTGGTCCTGGGTGTGATGAAGATGATCTTTTTCTCAATGTTCTATTTAGACTGGGCTGACGATAAATGACTCCTAAAGATGCGTTCATGTAGTCTAGACCAGCATGTGGAGGCAAGGACCACTTACCTAAAAGTCTCACCTCGCTCCCCCACCCTCACAGCTATCTGCGCTGGAACTCCACCCCAGGCTGTATGTGGGAGGCGGGGAAGGGGGCCAGTTTCTCAAGTATTAGAGTTCACTCATCATTCAAAGCAAAATGCCATATTTCAAAGCCTTGAATCAAAACGAATCACCAACGAGCGGTTTTGTGTCCGTGCCCAAAGGAGCGAGGTTGATGGTGCTTAACAGACATGAGGTGTGTGTACTATTTATCCAGAATTAAAATATCGGGTTGTGTAAAGAGAGGGTGAGGGCAGCAGTGAGCTGGACGGAGGTCGTGCTCCCAGTGGGACCCGGTGCAGCCATCTCCAGGTCGCTCAGGCTGGTGCTCGCGTGGGTTCCATCCGTGTGGGATCTCTGCTTTTTACTGCCAGGTTTTGTAGACAATCTTACTGAAAGCCAAGGGCAGCACAGTCAGGATTCTGCGTTGTGATGCTGGACTTTTCACCTCAGTTTAAGTGAAGTTTTATCCGAGATCTGGACCATCTAAGAGTGAGTAGCTGTCTGCTGTCTCAGTCATAATGAGCCGAAATTGTGTCTGTCACTCCAGAGTGGAGAGGACTTTTCCACAGCCCTATGGAGCTTGCAATCTGTGATTGCCTCGTAAAAGGTTAAGTGTGCGCGTACTTAACACAGTGTCCTATGTGCGTTGGACAGCGTAGAACACATGGGACCTACCTTGCAAGTATTGGGTCTTCGACTCTCAAGTGCAATGTGTATGAAAACCAAT